TAAAAAAATTAATGTGACCTTGACCTGACCTTCGCTACGCAACCCAAGGTCAAACTGATGTGATCAGTAAATACATCTTTTTAAACGCCACAACTTTTATCTGAAACATTTTTTTCTAAAATGCTTAGTTTTCGAGATATTTCACCGGTCCGGGACTTTTTGAACACCCTGTATATATATATATATATATATATATATATATATATATACATATATATATATGGAAGGGAAATTGCGTATGCAATGCGTACGTCTTAAGGAACGTCTACATTGGAAGTAAACAGTAAGAAGTAGGAAGTAAGAATAAGAAATTGACCAATCATAGTTAATTATTCTTCTCACATTCGACTGTGGTTGGTCAATTTCTTACAAAGAACAATCTTGGCTTGCTTTGTTCCAATTGATCAAGTTCCAATTTTCAATCGTCAATCATCAATCGGCAAACGGTAGTGTGATTTGGCCTTTAAAGGACGTCTACATTGGAGGTAAGTAGTAAGAATTAGGAAGTAAGAGTAAGAAATTGACTAACCACAGTTGAATGTGAGAAGAATAATCAACTATGGCCGGTATTCATAGTCGAATCTTATTTCAAGACCATCTTAAGTAATGTCTTAAGATGCAAATACGGCTCTGTGATTGGTTCATGACATCTTAAGACAGTCTTAAGATGATCTTAAATATAAGATCGAACTATGAATACCGGCCTATGAAACCCGATCTACAATAGATGGAGTAAGGAGTAGGAGTAAGAAATAAGCAGTAAGTAAACAAACCAATCACAATCGATTATTTTTGAAACGTGAAATTGGTCAATTTGCTTATTCCTAAAGCTGGCCATACACACTTTCCGTAACAGTAACCGTAAGACGTAACGTAAGAATTGACCAATCATGTTGAGAATCGTCGAATTATAAGGTCGCCATTTTTATAAATACTCGATCAATTCTTACGTTACGTCTTAAGCGTCTTCTACAATGGCAGTAGGAGTAGTAGTAAGAAATAAGCAGTAAGTAAATAGACCAATCACAATCGATTATTTTTGAAACGTGAGAATGGAATTGGTCAATTTGCTTACTGCTTATTTCTTACTACTACTCCTACTGCCATTGTAGAAGACGCTTTAGAGCTATGGCACACAAATTGACATAACTGCATATGCATAGCATAAGACCGTATGTACCAATGAGCATTGAGTATTAAGTCGCCATATTGGTGTTCGATGTTTAATATTCGATGCTCATTGGTCCATACGATTTTATGCTATGCATATGCAGTTATGTCAATTTGTGTGCGATAGCCCTTACGGTTACTGTTACGAAAAATGTGTGTGGTTAGCTTTACTCCTACTCCTACTCCTTATTCCATCTATTGTAGATCGGGCCTGATTGGTCTTTTCCTATTCTTACTTCCTACTTCTTAGTAATGACGTTGGGGTTTTAACCGTGGCAGCGCCTCTAGCCAAATATTGAAGGACTTCCTACTTTTTACTTCCAATGTAAACGCCCCTTTACTCCTTGTCCACAACTTTGCTTTAATCTTTAAGCCGTAAGATATTGACCAACTACAGTTGATTATTTTTGTAGTAGATTGGAACTTGTGGATGAAAAATTTTATTGAATTCGTCAATAAAACTTTTAATTTTTCACGAGTATACGCAAAGAAAATAGATACATGATCGATTCATAGGCTAATGCTACAATTTTAAAATGTAACTGCGACCGCATTGTAGACGATCCTTAGTCCGTTCACATGCGAATGCAAATACGGCGATGCGATAAGCACCATGTTGCCGGCCACGTCTGTATATCGATACGGCCACGAGCGCCATACTCAAGATCTCTTTTTACCGTAGATAACCATTGTTAACGTACCTTACAGGACCGGCAGTAAGAAAGACCCACGTGTCATCGCTGTCAAATATTCCGACCAGCAGCGCGTGAAGGAGTCAACTACCAGAGATGTCCCGGTTGCGTGTGAGCGCGCTGATATGCATTCTTGTGCTGAGCGTGTGCTCGCACGTACACACCGCCGTCGACTCTAACCTCGTAGACCCGGATTTGATGGTGAGGAATGTCGAGCGGCACATTGACCTGCAGTCCCAGCTGACGAAAATCACGACCCGCGTGGTGCTGGACAACGGCAGCAAAGATCGTAGCACGTCGAATTTCCTTTTCTGCTTGGACGGCGTGCAGAGAAAGTCTCTGAGCTACATAGCGGCTCACATCGAGCCCGGTAAGCTGGAGCTGAAGGTCGCGGAGACCAAGGTGGAGGCGCATCGCGACAAAGTCTTCTTCTCCGTCGATCTGGCCAACCACTTAGCGCCACGGCGCACACTCACTATCGAGATAGAGACTGTTCTCACGCACGAGCTTGTGCCTCACCCCAAGAGTATCTCTCAGCAGGAGAAGCAATTAGTTAAGTACACAGGCAACGTGTACGCCTACCTGCCGTATGCGGTAACCAAGCAGACCACCTACGTAGGCCTGCCATCGCGCAACATCGAGAGCTACACCAAGGTTAAGCCAGTGTCACAGACTGGCTCAGCGATAGTCTACGGTCCATTCGAGAAGCAACCGCCGTACGCTCACACGGAACTAGTGGTGCACTTTGAAAACAACAACAAATTTCTCACTGTTACTAGGCTCGAGAGAACCATTGAGATCTCTCACTGGGGCAATATCGCCGTGGAAGAACACGTCGACCTCCTGCACACCGGAGCTCTCCTGAAGGGTCCCTTCTCTCGCTACGACTATGCACGCGAGTCTAAGTCGGGGCAAGCCAGCATCCAGAGCTTCGACACCATCTTGCCGGCGGCCGCGTCGGACATCTACTACCGGGACGAGATCGGCAACATCTCGACGTCGCACACTCGCGTGAAGAAGGACTCAGTGGAGCTGAACCTGAGACCGAGATTCCCGTTGTTCGGCGGCTGGAAGACTCGCTACACCATCGGCTACAACGTGCCCAGCTATGAGTATCTGTTTCACGCGGGCGATCAGTATACCCTGGAGATGAGGCTGCTGGATCACGTCTTCGACGACATGGTCGTGGACGAGATGGTGCTGAAGATCATTTTGCCGGAGGGCGCGCGCAATATACAGCTGGAGCTGCCGTACCCGGCCACTCGCCTCCGGGACTCCTTGCACTACACATACTTGGACGTGACCGGTCGACCCGTGGTATCGGTGACCAAGAAGAATCTCGTAGAAAATCACATCCAAAACTTCCGCTTGAAGTACACGTTCCCGCGTCTGCTAATGCTGCAGGAGCCGCTCTTGGTTGCTATAGCGTTATATCTGTCGTTCCTCATGGTGATTACGTACGTCAGGTGGGACTTCTCCATCGACAAGGACGAGGCGTCGGAGAGCAGGTTGCGCATTGCCGGCCAATTCGAGAAGCTCATGGTCGCGCAGGATCGCCGGATCAGTTCGTATAACAATCTGGAAGACCAGTTGGCGAGTTTGAAGACCAACAAGGACGTCAACGCATTTCTCGCCGTGGTGAAGGGCATCAATCAGGAGTACAAGGCTGCCACCGGCGCGGTCAATGAAATTGCGCAGAAACTGAAGGGCGAGTCCAACGATGTTTACGAGCGCTTGCAGGAGCTGCAAAAAGTCGACCGGTCATTGAAGGAGATCTATAATCAGCAGCAGGCTTTGTACGTGGATAAGCTGGTGCCGGGCAAGATTGGCCGGCAGCAGTTCGTCGAGGCCGAATCAGCGATCATGAAGAAGAAGGATGAATACGCTGAAAAGACCAATGCGATCATCAGGTCGTTGCGATAATGCGATCATTCTTTCGCGAGTCGACAAAGACTTAACGATACAGAGAAGAGCAAGAGAAGAGCAGAAGAGACGAGGACGATGCATTTGTGATGCAGCAACGTCCCCGGCATTCTCATGTCACGCGACAGTGTTAATACATTTCATGCAAATGAGCCAACGAAGGATTCCATGCATTTAATGCATTTTGCACTATGAGAAAAACTATATATCATAAGTTAAGATTTATAACAAATATATGTAGGGAAGAAAAATATGGTTTTCTCTCTTGTTTGCTACAGTAGGTGTTTTGAATAAAGTGTTTGTTAAAAAGATTGTGCAATGTATATCATTTTGTGGCAAACATTAGAACATTAGAACAATCTTGCATTCTAAGGTTTCATTTGAAAAAAATCCAAGTTATCAGTAGCAAAAGTTGTAAGCTCAACTATGTGTGTGCATTGATTATTGAATTTGGAATTTAAGAAAAAGATTGCAAGTTATCACATATGTAGCATAATAGCATTCACATAAAAATATATGTATACATTATACTCTTGTGTATTTACATAATATTATAATTACAAAATTATAGTTTCACACACACAAAAAGTCATAACAATGAAAAAAAATTGTAATTATAATTGAAATAAAGAAAAAATTTCCTCTTTTCCTGAATTATAAAATCAGAGCAGACTATGTGGTGCCTTTCTTAGAGAGCAGATAAAATTTCTTTCATTTTATCGCACGAAAGAATCCAGACACGGAAAATGGATCGATGATATATACGACACCAAAGATCAGTTTGAAGCGATTACTTCTGCGCATGAAAACGCGACGTCAGTAGTTCTCAAGTACCCGCCTTATCCATGTGTCAATCCGTCGTGCCGGTCAAACGAGGGACACTTGCCAACTACTTTCCCTCTCGCTCCTTTTAGTTTTCTTTCTCGGGTTAGTGCTTCTCCGAAACAATTTGTATAGGAGTGTCTCATGCTCGGAGCTAGAATGACTAATTTACGGAAATTCATAGGTAAACTCGAACATATACTATCTACGTATCTGCGCTGACGATGGCGTAAACTTGCGTGCGTGAGAGGTTATGCGAGCATGACAAAATCGCTTCTGATCGATAGAAAGAGAAGAGTTCTGCAGATTTTGCGTTCTTATATATCCTGGAACAAAAAGAGAATATATTAAATTCTTCCCGCTGATGATTGTTGTAATGAGCATGCACGTTTTTTTTCAGAATTTTATAATTAGCAGCTTGTTGCTCCAATAGTACATTTCAAGTATTTTATGACACTAAATTTTTAAACAAAATTAGTCCTTGCTGTAGTTCAACGATGTTCTAATGATATGTTGTGGTTATGTGATATTGGAAGTATATAGAATAATCTGTGTAATTTGTCTGAGATAGTCTTGTTGGGTACAGGTCTTTTGTTCCAATTGTTACAGACATTGGTGCTAATTTAACAGATCCTGTGTACCAAGGAATCTACCATGGGTTACAAAAACACCAACCAGATTTGGATAAAGTGTTAGAGCGGAGTTGGAACAACAATGTCTCAAAAATTATTATTACAGCTGGCAATATGGAAGATAGCAAGAAGGCTCTTGAGATAGCGAGAACTGATGGCAAGTCCTAAAAATGTATCCTGAAATATGTGAGAGATTATATCTTAATTTACTTATTTACTATTAATACAAAACAATATAAAAATTTTTCAATAAACGCAATATAAAGTATCAGGTTAGTGCAAAAGATGTGTCTGTCAAATAAAATAAAGAAAATTATCCAGTTTTGAAAAATTGATTATTTTTGTGAATAAAATAAACAGCATTGACTCTATTTTTTAGAAATCTAATAAAGACTTCTTATTTTCTTTTTAACGTCTCAAATTTCTATGAAAATAGAAAGATGACAAAAATCTTTTGCACCGACATAGCTCTGTTTTTACACTAACTTCATACATGTAAATTTTGCAATCTTCCCTACACTTTCTTTTCTGCTCAACAAATTAATTGTTCTTCACAAATTTCCAGAAAGATTATATTCAACAATCGGTTGTCACCCAACTCGTTGCCAGGAGCTGGAGGAATGCGGTGATCCAGAGGAGTATCTCAAGTCGCTGTCGGATTTGGCGCTAAACAACAAGGACAAAATCGTCGCGATCGGCGAAATAGGTCTAGATTACGACAGACTGCAATTCTGTCCTAAGGACATCCAGAAGAAGTACTTTGAGATGCAGTTGTCCTTGTGTTCCACTCTAAAGTTACCGATGTTCCTGCACTGTCGCAACGCCAGCGACGACTTTGTGCGAATTTTGCGGAAACATAAGGATAAGCTGACGGCAGGTGTTGTGCATTCCTTCGATGGCAATCCAGAGGACGCGAATTCCATACTACAGTTAGGCTTGTACATCGGTGTTAACGGATGGTATGATCACCCTAACTTGCAGGCACTATTATTATAGAAAACACTATAACAGAAAAAGCACAGGAACAGAAAAGAATTCTGAAGACAAAGAAAGTCGATAACAAATTTTGCTTATCGTTTTAGTTCTTTGAAGACGGAGGAGAACCTCTTCGCGGTTACCACCATTCCTTCGGATAGGCTCATGATAGAAACTGATTGTCCGTGGTGCGAGATCCGGCAGTCACACGTGTCTGCAAAAGATGTTATAACGCATTTTCCGTCTGTGAAAAGAGAGAGATGGCAGGCCGATCGGATGGTTAAAGGGCGAAACGAGCCATGCACGATAGTGTAAGCACGTAGTCTTATCAGAGTTCGAGACATGTCCGACTTGTCGATTTATTCTGCCTATCGTTATGTTTTACAACTTATATGCTCATGATTTTCGAGTGACTCATTGGTTGCACACGGGGCAATAAGACAAGGGGAATAGTGCTAGATGGAACAAATTGAAAATCAATCGAAATGTGCGACACGTACCGAGCTCTGCTATACATTACTTTAAAACAATCTAGCAATAACATTTTTCTCCTTAACTATAGTACGACATTTTCATCACATGTTTATAATTTTTACACAAACATACACACAGAGATATTAATTACATTTTAAAATTATATCTACATATTTTTCAAACACTAACGAGTTCCTATGATTATTACAGTCAAATTTTGGAAGTCTTGGCACGAATCAGGGACGAAGAAGAAGAATACCTGTGTAACCAAATTTACAAGAATACGATGAAACTTTTTTTCCCGTACGAACTATAGGTGCAAACAAAACACAAATTACATTTACACGACAGGCTAAAACCGACTTAGTAACGGACACCATAGTCATATGACTTAACTACGTTGTAAGAATTAACGCACGTGCATTGCCGTAGATATCTTACGTTATCTTAAGAGAACTTTGCGTTGTACGCGACACACAAGCGACTCTTATAGTAACATACAAAGCGCTTTTACGTTTTTCTTTATACGTTCCCGCAGGACTAGCTTTTCTATCGCGTAACGCAAAGTTCTAAGATAGAGTAGGTGCTACTGCTATGTACGTACGCTGGTCCTAACTCTCGACGTTGTAACTATAGTTATACTGGCTGCGTGGAGGAAGTTGCTTTGCAATTATTATAAAATTCGTAAATCTGATTGGTATATGCTCTTGGATCCAACCAAAATTAGGAGTATACCCCAATCAGATTCATGAATTTTACAACAGTTGCAAAGCAGCTTTCTCTGCTGAACACAGCCATTGTACTTTGGTTGTGTTTTGATATTCACACCTCTAGTGCTGAAAACCTGTAGAGAGAGAGAGAGGGGGAGGGAAGAAGGGAGCGAGAGAGAGAGAGAAAGGGAGGAGGGGGAGAGAGAGAGAGAGTCCACATGTTACCTACTCAATGGTCCAATGAGAGAACTTAGCCAATGGTCTATGAGAGAATAAATCTTTGACTAATGCTCAGAGAAAAGTTCTCTTATTGGACCATTAACTGCGTGCTGAACTGCATTGGAAAAGTGTTCAAATCGTTTTGAAACAGGATGCACATGTCTTACAGTATATTTACAAGACAATTGTTTAGACCATATATAACATCGATAATTTTGACATCAGGGGTTATCGAATCTGTTTTAAGTTCTTTATGCAAATGTATACTGATGTTACTAAACTGGTTTCAAATTGCCGCGTAAACGTAGTTACAGAAATGCAAGTAGACACCAGAAGCTGACGTTAATAACACATCCGTGGGAGTAATCAGGGATGAAAACTGTGACCGTATATAGAAAGGCTGCGTTCAGCGAACACAACATTTATAAAAAATGAATGTAATTAATGGATTTAAAAACCCATATTCCGAACTCTCTTTTATCGCTAAAAGCGCCTTTAAAATCCACTTTCAAAATTTAACCGAAATTTAACTCAAAGACCTATCCAGACAAACTTGAATTGTCATATTATTTATATGCACAAAGAATCGTGATTCGTATATAGTAAAAGGATATCTCTTATATTAAATATGTTTTACATTAGACAATTTCCTTGTGTGTATAGATAATACGACTATACAAATTTATTTGGACAAATTTTTAACAAGTTGAACTCTGGTTAAAGCAAGTGTGGAACTAGACCTAAAAAGTCTTGTAAGCCTTCTGATTGGTCATAAGCAACTTTTAGGAACGCTTTTAGATATAAAAATGAATTAAGAACATGGGCCAAAGAGTACACACCAATTAGATTTTTACTCAACACTTGACAACCGTTTTGTTCACTGAACGCAAATAATAAGCCTGTTCTTTTTTTCGGGAAACTTCCTGAACTTGTGCACACTAATGCAATAAGTTAGAGTGAAGCAACGTCTTTTTTTAACTTATTGTACTAGTTCAAAAAGTTCTTCAAAAAAGAACAGGCCTAATGGCAAAGACCGCTACTCGCTCTGCCACAGAAAAAACAGATGACACTAATTTTTACAGATGTAGCTTTATGGAGGTGGCTTCTGTCACTATCCACGGATCTCTTCCCATATAAAACTTTAATATATTGTTATAATCATGTTCATCTATTTCATCTTGTCACCATTATTACTACTGTCATCTCATTATATTATTATTACTATTTATAAGATATTTATTAATATTATTCTGCTATTCCTACAAATATATCACTGTTGTTACTGTTATTGCTATAACCCATCGCACCAGATGTTAAAATATTTCATTAATTAATTGCTATAAAGAGTCTTTACACCTTCGGTCGTTCCTTTTTTATTATATCTACAAGAAAAGCTTTGCTACGAAAAATTGTACTTTTATTTAATAACTCAGTAATTGAAGTAATCAATCAATATTTTCAAAATTATAAATGAAAATACAAAATATATTAAAGTCTACCATACGCACAGAGACTAACACGTGTTATCTAGATTACTTGAATAATGATTTCCAAGTCACAAGTATCTTAATAAAAGAGAATGTCTACGATTATTCGTATTTATCATAAGCTCACAAAATTTTTCATGTCAGGACCAAAGACCAAAAGGCAATATAGATACTTTTTCTTCTCTTTCTTTTTTAGAAATATCACAGGTAAAATGGCCGACGCATTCCTGATGTTCAAAAGTATTAATACAACTCTTCAACTTCTGTCATAAATAATAAATGCTGATGTATGAAGGGGAGGCAGGTTTCTGTCTCGTTACCGACGCAATGAATTGCGTTGTAATGTAGAACAAACCGCTGGATTTATTATTCATGACATTTTGGAAAGAGTTTGCACTTTTTCGTACACCCAGTCGTACGTTTCACTCGCGTATGATAGTGTTGTGCGTATCGTCCATACGGCGCAATTTCCGAGATTCTCTGGGCTAAGTTTGCCTCTGAAATAAAGAGGAAAGTTAATAGCCACGACATTCGTGAAATAAAGAGGAAAGTTAATAGCCACGTGTTAATAGACACGAGAACATGATTCAAAAATACTTACACAAAAACGTTTTTTCCCAACCATTCTATCGTTGCACTGGAATGTTCAATGACTTTCTCTCCAACCAGAGCTAAAGAAGCTTTCACAAACTCTAATGCTTGGAGACTTCGGGATTGAATTTGATCAACAATTCCTGGGAGATAGTGTTCAACCTGCACAAGAAAAAGAAGATCGTTATGAGATGTCTTAATTGTTGCGCTTGTAAAGTAATGCTGTTCATTTCAACCATCCGGGTACACACATTTTTCGGATATTACTCAAATATCCGCATATTCGGGCATATAGTTAAATTCAGATAACATCTGGTTATTAATTTTTCTCATGATAACAAAGAATTAATAAATGCATTGTTTTGTAACTACCTATAAAAATAAAAGTACTTTATTTTTTTTTAATAACTACCATCACATATATATATATATTGCTCTATATTATATCAATATATTAATTTAAAAATTTCACGTTCATTTCGACCAAGAAGGCAGCTTTATTTTGCATTTGTATGCCTTCTACACAAATAACTTATAGTTGAAGTTAATTTAATGAATATATGAAATAATTTGACACTTCCAGCTTATTGATTTAACAAAAATAATGAGCAAATGCATTTCATACTCGTAACTATTTACTATCTGGTTGCTTGGATAATACGTGTGAATGTTTAGGTACCCAGGTTATATGCTGACAACACTATTGTAGAGTACTCGCGATTTTCATTACAACTCACTGTGTCCAGGACTACAGGTGTCTTCTGCTCGACGTATACTAAGGCGTTGTTGTATACTTTAATTGAAACATTCTTTACTATGACATAGACATCGCCAGCTAATTTGACATATGGCACACACAGATCAACTGCGGCTTTGTAATATTCTGAGCTATTTTTAATTGTTTGGTGTCCTGCAGATGAATACAACTTTATAGTAGTCCACGCCTTTTCACAATACTTGGAGATCCCGCTAGTTTTCACGAATATTCCAATTTGGGATGCTACAAATACATAAGTGCTAATGTAGTCAAATCGGAAAGTCGTCTCATATTTCTTCCACACAGTTTAAAAGTCAATGAGGAGAAGTAGAGCAATGAGAGCAGTGCAGAGACAAGATTTTGTGATAACAATGGATATTTCCACTAGTCAACCATGACCATTCAACAGATCATATGTTGTGAGCATTGCAATGTATGTTAGTGAAATTGTGACTCTTCCTGAACAATGATTTAATATAGTGTTGTTTAGACAATGATAATCAGACAACTGATATCACAATTGATAGAATTCAAAGATGACAATGAACTCAAGCATGATATGAAAGACAAATAATGAATTGGTATCGTACATAAGAGATTCTTACCCTCGAAGGAACCATGCTTTTGAGTGTCATATGCTACAATAGCACCAATAATTAGCAAGAGAAACAGACTGCCTACTCCCCAGGGAAAACCACGGCGTGTGGAAGAAGTCATCTTCTTTAATAGTGCCTGAAGAGAAAACAGAGAATAAACATAAAAATAATAACAATCATAATAGATAATTAGGCTTGAATCAGATTTCTTTGTATTTCTTGCACTGGTTTTTCCTTCCACATAAGACACTGCTTCTAAATTATTTATAATGCAAAATAATATAAAACGGAAACATACGCGACGAGTGGACTGACTCGAAGCAAAACAACAAGAGAAATAGTTGCGTAGCTAGCACTCGGAAAAACTTCGGCGCAGATTCCGTGTGCGTGATGATTAATTATTATCAGTGATTGTAGATAACGGACATTCTCGGCGGTCTAGATCGTCTGACACAACACCGACAACTCATTGCCCCCATGATGCACTCGAAGGAACGTCACCGTTCGCGTGGCGAATAATTCACGAAGAATCAATTACGCAGAATCATTCGCTCGTATAGACGATCACAGCGTGGATCAGGTTACGCTGATCCTGCCGAGGACGGGGGACGCGCGCGCGGAACTCGATCTTACCTGCGGAAAACCGGAGACGTGACACGCGCGTTATCGGGTTTCGTCGATCTCCGTGTCGATGGTTGAAAAAAAAAAGAAAAGCGTACACACGGACGAATCAACGAACGGTGTCAATGTCGTCGCTACTCTCGGCTGGGCGTCGTGAGGGGGGCGATGAGCATGGATCAATAGTCCAGCCGCTCCAGCTTCGTTCCCGAAATGAGCGACCTAACCTGCCGAGCGCGCCGCTGCGTACGTGCGTGCACGTCGTTCGAATCGAGCCCGCCGCTGTGACTCGGTGAGCTGCCCCTGCCCCCAGCCGAAAAGCAACGGAATCGCCCGAGCTGCACCTCACGGCAGCTGTTTAATGACAGCACTGACCGTTAGCCAGTCGCCGACTAACCGAAGAATTCGCTCTCGCGCTTCTCGAAAGTGCGAAACTTCTTCGCTTTTTCTTCCTCACGAAGGAAAGAAAGAACGAGGGAGAGACTTGCGTGCGTGTACAAGGTGCGAATTTGCGGGGATAAAAAAGAAAGTTACCTTCTCGACGATCCCGTTGGTCGTACGCCTGTAGTTCGTTATATCAAATTAATTTCAGATCGATTGCACTGATTTGAATGAAACTGGGATTTGTAACACGCGATCTCTCGATTATTTCTCGCAAAGACGCCAAATGGAACGTGATGCGCCTTATTAATATATACGACGCGAATATTTCGGGGGTATTCCGCGGCAATATCGATATATGTCTTGATCGAATCAATGATGAGTTTAGGAAAACTGGATTTATAAGCAGGACTAAGGACGTCCGGGACACGTGATTATGCAATGGCGAGCTTAGAAAAACTGAATTCGCAACAGGATTAAGGATATCTCGGGATCACGTGATCGTTTCTGTTGTTGACCGCGACACTTGTACCGTTCAGGGACAACGGCGTACTGCGTACTGGGCGCGCGCATCGTCAGTAGCGACGAGGATCGCAACGAGCATAATTGCGTATCTAATCGACGATGCATCGTTATACGGCTATGACGCGTTCCTTATTGAAGAAATCTCCATCTCTCCGCGCTCTTGCGTAAAAAAACAGATCTTAAAAGTGTAATAACTTGGAGCGAAACAAAAGATCTGTTATTTTTTGGAGAACTTTCTGAACACCGGTATACAAGGCGCAATAAATTAAGGCTCGTCTACAATATATGTAGCGCATAAGTTGGAATAAGAAATACAAATAATTTATATCGGTCTAACTCGGAAGTATTCATTTTAAATAAAAGAAACAGCCTTATCGTGTAAGCGAGTTTGTTTTATTTCTTACTCCAACTTACGCCAAGTTCACTTCGCGTATTATAAACGAGCCCCTTTAGAATGAACCAAAGTATAGTCTCATTCTAGCTTGTTGCAGCAGTGTATAGTGAGTCGCGAAACGATTTAGATACAATGAACTTCAGAGTGTAGTTTAATGAGAGAATTTATTTTTGAATCATTCGTTCTTTGATTAGATCATTAGCTGCGCTATGAAATTCATTGTGTCCAGACCGTTTTGCGACTTCTGTACACCAGTTCAAAAAGTTCATCGAAAAAGAACAGGCCTGTAGTGAGTTGCAATACGCCAAGGAGAAGAAAATTAGTGCAAACCAATACAGGGAGTGCAGCAAAAAAGACCTATTAATAGTCTTGCCGAGCGCCGATAACGGAACTGGCGCGCGGCTTTTTCAAGCTGCGCTCGAGTCGCTTCACGTTTGGAATTTATCCTGGTCAAATTCCAATGCGATCGCACTCCAAGATCTGCTTCTCTATCTGAAATTCTCACACCGAAGAAATCAGATTCAGATTCACGTAATCAAGCCTACGTCAGTACGATGGCACGTTGAGATTACATGCGAAAAGTTACAGCAACATTTGCCGGATGACGAGCATGAGTTTTGCGATCTTTCAAGATCGAAGAATTCAACGAGGGACATGCTTTCTAATTTTAATTGCTTGTAACATTGTCTATCTGTCTGTCTGCCGAGGTGGATGAATTTTCTCCGGGCGCTCGTCATCAAAGCGTGTTCGCTCGGCTATCGCTCGCCATACACGCAAAGTTGTTGCACTAAGTACACCAAGCACGCGAGCTAATTATATTAAACATGACACGCGAACGGATTTATGCATGAACGATCTCTCTTTCTCCGGGGATAGCTTCGCGGAGAATTCTAAGTTTATGGCGTAACTGGATTTAATAAGGACCAGCAATCTTCGTTCGTCGCACCTGCAATTTCTACGGTGTAGGCACGACTTTTGCGCCGAGTAATATGCGCTTGTAACTTTCTTTTGTATTTTGCGCCGTAGCGGAAAACGGAGAATACATTTATCCGCTGAAAGTTGTCGAGTTGTAACCGCGAAAGAATGCGTGACTGTCCAGCCGCTGATAAACGGATAAATAAATTTGCACTTGCCGGACGATAACGGGCAAGAAAATTTCTCCCCGAATAACGAGCAGCATGCCGCGCGACTATTGATCAAGTTGTCGTCAGTTGTTTTTTCGCTGCGGAAAATAAGCCTATCAGGAGTACTATTCCGTTCCCGCGTACCGACAGTTGTCGAATCGGTAGGCGTCGTTGCGCAGCTTTTTTATACCGTGGAAAAACTGTGCAACGACGCCTACCGATCCGACAACTGTCGGAATCACGGTAACGGAATAGCAGCCCAGATAGGACAAACTGCAGTTTATACCGCAGTGAACTTGCGAAACAATGTAGATTACGATTGGAGATAAGATGTATATGACGTCGCCGAGTGATAAGTTAATTAGAGTTAGATAATGACGCGCCACTTGGTGCTGTAGTTGCTTTCTATTTTGTGAATTTATTGAAACCGCGTTTCAATGCGCGAGGAAGCACTCACCTGAGATGTGATCTTGCATGTATTCGCGAGACTTTCGTCTTTGACTTTCTTCCATTTCTCGTTACTGTTTTGGAAAATCGCGAGAGTTTCCTTGAAGTGCTTGCCTTTGAACTGCGGTTGCAAACTAGGCAAATTCGCATCTACAAAAGCGATTCTGCGTGAAACACGTATGATTCAGCTTGAGCGTGCAGTAGGTTGTAAAGCGGTTTAGACACGATAAAGTTGAGAGTTCACCAAACTACCAATATTGAGAATCATTACTGTGAGATACACGGTCTTGTCCAGTAGTTATATTATTAATTATTATTAGTATTATTATATTACTTATCATTTAGTGTTTTTAATTATAATTGCGCAAGTATATCCGTAGTGTCTCTAAATTCTGGTAGTTTGGTGAACTCGCAACTTCATTGTGTTTAAACCGTTTTGCAACTCTGTACACACAGACAGCGTGGACACTCACCGATGTACTGCAAGAGAAGTCTGGATTGGTACAAGTACGAGGTGTAGACGGAACCCCAGATGGCGAAGCAACGAGGTTCCGTGACGAGACAATCCGCGAGTGCCTTGATTATCTCACACCTGTAGTCCGCATGCGACTTCGGCGTCACTCTTCCGAGCAACACTTCGAACAATTTCGTGTAATTTATGTCCTTGTTCTTAAATACTATCGACTGTAAAAGACACGAAGTTTTACCGCATTCTCGTCCAGCTGCCGAGACGAGTCGGACCTGAACACGCCTTGAGCGTCGCTCTCGCGGCCGAGACGATTGCGCGCGCAATGCGACAGTCGAGGCGTATTCAGCGTTTCGCGCCTACCGTTACTACTTACTCTCAGCTTATCGATACTCGCGCTGATCTCTACCGCCAGATTCGCGGGTTGATTGCTGAACTTGTTGGAGTAAGTCTCCGTAATGATGTCCAGATAAAGGTCCAGATTGAGGTCACGAACGTTATCGTGGCCGAAGACGAGATCGTTCAAGATCTGCACAACATAGTTGGAGTAGCCCTTCATGTCCAGCATGGGCGACATTAGCTCGTGCCAGATCTTCAGGCCGACCGCCAGATTTTTCCTGCCAGCCTGAGACCAGGCCCACAGCAAGGACAGGCCGACGTTCTTCCTGTTCTCGTAGGAACTCCTTATTGTGATCAGCTTGGGAATGTTTGCGGCGGTCATCTCGGGATTTAGGTGCGCCAGCAGCTGCAAAAATATCTTGTGACCAACCACGGGGATTCCCTTTACCATATCGGTAGCCATCGAGGTGAGAGTAATCTCATAGAAATGTTGGACGGACTGCTGGCCCGCCATTTCTACCACGCGTTCTAATGTAGAAGAGATTGTCTTAGGAACTAAACTCAACGGATAATCCTTGGGCTTTCCTGAGAAAATTGCGTCCTCTTTGTCGATGGGAATTTTAACATTGAGGAATGCTGCGAGATCCTTCAGCCAGATTAATGGGGCTTCAGGATATCTGGCCTGTGCAGTAGCCAGCACATTATTGAGCTCTTTTATATCAATCTGCAGATATTTATAAACAATTCATTAATAAAAGAAAGCACATAGATTGATATGCATTTATTTCTATGAGAATTGTTATTATAATCTAAATAAAATTTTATCCTAAATTTAGAGAGCAAGCCTTACCGCATTCAATGCATCTTTTATATTTTTTGGAGGTTTCTCCTTTGGCTCCTGTTTCTTTTTCTCAGCTTGTTGTTGCTGTTTCTGCTGTTGCTGCTTTTTCTTTTCTTCATTCTCTTTCATTTTATGTTCTTTTGCCTTAGGAGATTTCTTAGTCTCCTTGTTTCCATCCAGATTATCGTAAAGGGTTTTTACTTGACTCAATGGCACTGAAATCACAAATAAATTAAGTCAGATAGTTTTTTTTGTTAAGAAAGCATAAAGTAAGATTTATTTGTATAGACATAAATCTTGTTAAAATTGCAAGAGCTTTATGTTAATATGACATGCACTGCATGACATATCTATGCAGTGCAATTCTGTAAAATGTCTCAATTCATTGTAATTCTTCATTCATTGTGAGTAGTTTTGTTACAATGAAAATCTGCAATCTGTTTTGCAGTGAAAAACAGTAATTGCAGAATGAACACTGCTTGAGAGTTACATATACAAGTACCATATTGCGACCTACGCGTTCTAAAGATTTCACGCGCGATTGACAAGCCGGTCGGGTGTTGCTTTGATCATACTATTTTTACAACAATGTCTCGTAATCGAATCGATAAGGTCGTGACAATCGGAGCGAAATTAGGGTATGTTACGAGAGGCGACAAGTGGCAGGTTATGACGACAAAGACTCACAGAAGTCCTCGACTTTCGGCGCGTTCTCGATGAATTTCTTTTTCTCGGCCTTCGTGAGTTTGTTCACCTTTCCGTTCGTTCGGTCTTTCTTCTTGCCGACTAATTCCCAACCGCCAGACGACATCGTAATGATCGCAAAAGTGACGTACAATACTGCAGACTATAACAACAACAACACTGCCTAACCGCGAAAGGCACTGTAGCTGACTGGAGCAGGCTGGAGAATGCGCGATGTGTTTTGTTGGCGAAATACCAGCCACAGTGTCGTACGTGGTAGCGCATGCGTGTAAGCACGAATGCCACGCGCTTCTATCCACGCTAGATGACCGATTAATCGTTGTTCGATTCTGTCTTTTTAATTAGAGTCGATTAAATTCTCGATATATAATACGATTTGTAACATTACATGTAAAAATAACAGGTCTAAGAACCCCTTAAACTCCTTATTTATACTTCAAACAAAAGAGACTAATGGCTCCTGCACACAGGACGCAGTAATGCTTGTCGCGCGACGGAAGTTCACGCGACAGCCAATCAATATGCTGCTTTCCGTAATAACCTTCTAGCTCTTACGGAAAAACAACATACTGATTGGCTGTCGCGCGGACTTCCGCCGCGCGGCAAGCATTACCGCGTCCTATGTGCAGAAGCCATAATATCATGTTCGACTGGCTCTGATGGCTTTTGTATATAGGACGCGGTAAGGGCCCTTGCAGAATGACAAGCAACAGGCAATAGGAACAGGGAATAGGAATTCGGATTGGTTAATTATTTCTATTCCCTGTTCCCATTGGCTAATGCCTATTCTATTGCCTGTAGTCTGGCATGTGCAAGGACTCTAATGCTTGCCGCGCGGCGGAAGTCCACGCGACAGCCAATCAATATGCTGCTTTCCGTAATAACCTTCTAGCGTTCCGCGTTTGTTTTGATTGCCTTATATTACATGAGGTATATTTTGAGCGGAAAAGCGGTATGGGGAATCATAAAATATTAATTTTTAACGGTATTTATTAAAATGCTTGTATTCAACAGATAAGCTGAAAAGATAAACATATTAATAAAAATTGCAGTAAATTAAGTTAATACAATTTTAAAAAATGAATACAGATGTTTATTTGTCACCAAACCGTTCCGCTTTTCCGCGAAAATTATGCTCCATGTAATATGAGGAGAAATAAAGTCGCGGAACAAGCGCGGAAAAATCCATTGTCACAAGATGTCACAAGTTATCACAAGTTATTCAACCTAACTGCCGTTACATTAAGACGTGTTCAAACGCATTCGGACCTGATATTTTTTACTTGGACCGACCACCAGTCGGGCCGTGCACCGGGGCGTTGCGCCAATCTAAACGCCGCAAGGCCTAATATTCGCAGACAATACGCGTAAACAAAATAGGCGCGACATACGATACCTAGCGACACCGATCACACAAAGCAATCGATCAAGAGCACGCGCCGCGGACACGCCGCGATCATGTGCACAGCGAGCGAAGACAAAGCGGCGTCAAGTATATAATCCGCGGCGCCGAAATAATCGAGACCAGACCGATTCGAACTCGATTTACAACTCGTTATACAGCGGAGAGCAAGGCCTACGACCGACTTGTCTCTATCTCCTCAGCCTACCTAGTGTCACATCCTCGCGAGCAAGGACCGAAGCCAGTACGTTAGCTGCGCTCTATCGATCTTTATTGACTTTTGCTTGCATCCCGTCAACGCTTCGAACAAGGACCAAATCCCGTACATTAGCTGCGCTCTGTCGAGCTTTCTCGACCCTTGTTCTTAGCCTCTCGACGGGCGAGATCGAGAGTAAATACGCCGATACATCGACTACTCACTCCCAATCTCGTCACCTGCGAAACAGGCGTGCCTGCGAGCGCGTCTCCACCGCGAACGCGAAAACAGCGTGCTGTGACACGGACTCGATACCGCCGACACCGCGCGGTCCCCGCGATCGACCACGCGAGCCGCGCACGAATCGCGACACGCGACCGCCTGCCGAATATCCGAGGCGAGCCTAGCCTTCGCGCTATACGCTCCGCCTACCGTCTTAACTCTCGCGGCACACCAAAACCGCGACCCGGTAACTGGCGCCGTCTCTCAGGAGGACTGTACATTAAAACGCGACGACTCTGTACAAAGGCTCAATAAATCTTTTTGTTATTTTTATTTATTACAATCCGCGTCGTCTTATTTCCCGAACCCGGACTTCAACGAGCAAATAATTCCTTGGCACCGACAACAACCGACACGTGGAGTTCGGCTGTTACACTGATTTTGAACTGTCCGCAATTTCAGATATACGGATATGTTGAGAATCGGTCTACGCAGGCTTGGGTTTTTGGATCCAATCGACATTTTCGACGTTGTATTTAGTGAAAATGTTGATGCCTTTGAGGAATTATCTCTTTTTTTCCAAAGATTAGGTCGAAGAATATAATGTACAAGAGCTGAGTTGCGTTTATTTGGTAATTTTTATTATCTGGAGTTTACTTGGTGTGGTCAATGGACTTGTTTCACGACCAATACAACATACATACATACATATCAACGGCGACGCGTTTAATCAATACGTTTTCTTGATAAGTAAATATACCAGCTTAATATACCGTTGTTTATATATATCGTCGATATTACGATTATTTAATAGAAAGTTACTATTTAATACGCGTATCAAGTGCACAATGTAAACCAAGCCATTGTTTTGTAACTATCTATAAAAGTAAAAGTACTTTATTTTTTTTAATAAGTACCATCACATACAGGGTGAGGAAAAAGTATGGAAACCCTGAAAAATCTAAAAAAATATAAGTTTTACAGAAAAATGTTTCAAATAAAAGTTGTAGGATTTAAAAAAGTCTATTCAATAGTCTCATCAATTTGACTCTGGCTGGCGTCGTTAAGGTGAAGTCAAAGTCATCTCGAATTTTTTAAATAAAACACCCTATTTTTTATTGCATATTCTTATAGTCTTTCTCAGTACCTTTTCAAAGCACTATAATTTTATTCATTTTGGGTCAGCCGTTTCAAAGTTATTGAGTATTTTACAGTAAGAAGTAATAGACACCCGAAGACAAGGTCGGAATATGATCCAGCCAACTAAGGCAAGATCGAAGGATGTTCCAGCCAACTAAGGCAAAATCAGAGGATGATCCAGCCAATCGGGTCCCACCCGTCGAACCGTAAGGTCGCCATTTTTGTGAATACTCTATTGTAATTGATCCTTTTTTACGGTACGTCTTAAGCCCATTCTACAATTGCGTAAGCGTAGTCATGAACGTAAGAGTCAACCAATCCGAATGTTTTATTCACTGATTGCTTTACTCTGATTGGTTGTCGTAATCACTTACAACCACTTACAACCACGTTCACGCAATTGTAGAATGGGCTTTACGTTACTGTTATGTCAATTCGTATGTGGCGCTCCTAAAGGTCGTTCTACATTAGTTGCAAGTCGATTGCATCTCTTGTTGCGGCAACCAATTAGAAGCGTCAATAGCACCATTGATGCTTCTGATTTGTTGTCGCAATAAGAATTGTATCTGTGCGATCGGCTTGTAACTAATGTAGAACGACTTTTATAGAGTTATCTACAATAGAGCATCGTACGTCGTAGCAGTAAGAAATTGATCAATTACAATCGATTATTCTTGTAAAACTCCAGTATGATTGGTCAATTTCTTACTGCTACGGCGCACATTTTCCATTGTAGATGGCCTCTATTGGCTCCTGCACACAGGACGCGGAAATGCTTGCAGCGCGGCGGAAGTCCGCGCGACAGCCAATCAATATGTTGTTTTTCCGTAAGAGCTAGAAGGTTATTACGGAAAGCAGCATATTGATTGGCTGTCGCGCGAACTTCCACCGCGCGGTAAGCATTACCGTGTCCTGTGTGCAGGAGCCATTACGAAGATTTGAGGAAGTGATATAACTCAACAATGGTTTGGACGAACCCTCATTTTTTAAGTAGTACTTTTCAGCCATGAGTCAGCCGTTCTCTTTATTCTCTCTTGAGAAATATTCAGTATTCAATGGGCAGTAACTTAGGTAAAAATGAAGTGATACGGAAAATATTTTGTAGTTTGAAGTTTCTAGTTTTCAACAATATTACTACCATAATATTTTCGTCATTTCTCGATAAGATACATCGAAATAAAGAAAACATAATCCCTCAATTTTGAATTTCATCTTTTAGTCGAATTTTTATATAGAAAAATTATTATGGAAAATTAGATAAATATATTTGATAGAGGAAAATTAAAAATCTTAAGCTGTAAAATACTTCTTGAATAATCTCATTATTTCTTTCCAAAGTTATTATTAAATTTCGTTTATTCGCTGTAATTAGAAAAATAATTTTATGTGCATTCTAAAAAAATATCGAACAGCTTATCAGACTAATTTCTATTTTGTAGTAATATGATCGCACAGAAACCTGACTTTTGCTTGTATCTATCATTTACATTACAACACAACCCGTCATAATAATAACTAATTATGCGCACTAATTAAGGGCGTAATGAGATACATGACGTACTGTTGGGGCAGGGCTCTTTCTTTTGTCGCCAACGTCGATTGCGCACGGGGATCCCTCTGACGGTGTCTCTCCTAAGCGAAGAAATCTATTGGATATACCTGCATGGATGAAAGAATAAGTGGATCGCTTTGGGGTTAGCTGCGGTTCTGCTGTACGTCGCTGCCAAAGTACGCCACGATATTTGTTCTGCGAGGAGTGTCGTTACGGCGAGTCGGTGAGAAAAACGTGGTCGTAGGATCACTAGGATCCTCCGAACAAACGTCAGGAATCCGCGCCGTTCTCTCTTTCGTTTCTCCGTTAGTTAGAACAAACGAAAATCGCGTGACCTATAAAAATCACACCTATGAGAAATATGAGCTTTCCGCGACCGTCGCCTTTTAACGAGATGCAAATTTGCGTGATTTATTCCTGAAGGCCAGCCGTAACAGATAGTCGTGTCGCAATAGAGTGTTGTCGCATGACATCGAAATCGTGTGAACGCACATGCCCCGAATATGAAACACGATATGACACTTGTTTGCGAGACATATTTCCCCTAATGAAGTTTGTAATTTAAGCTACGAATGTTTTCATCATTTGTTACGAGATAAAACGTACATATTTGTCGAGTCCGACCACTAGCATTAGAAGTTTAATGTTCTTTTAATCAAATTTTTCCTGTTAATATTCCTTGTTATTATCCACAGGTGGGAGAGGAGGTAGATCTTATAATGCAATTGTTTCTAAAAGAAACAATTGGCAATGACTGAAGACAGATTGCAATTGTCATAATGCATCTTTATCCACATTGGAATTAAGGTACACCAAATTCTTTAGTAAGATTCTCTAAAAATTCTACAATAAGATAATCTTGAGAGATTTAAGATAGCAATTAGTATATATTATGACATAAGACTGAGATTAGATTATGTTTCTCCAGATTTGCCTTTTCCTCCACTATGTTGGCTACACAATTGTTCAGTTCAATTGGAAATCGCTCAATTTCAACAGTATCATATCTACCAATTGATAACAAATGCTCGATCTAGTTTTTGTAAAGGCATAACTAAAGAATGATGGTAGCCTAGTGATGTGCCTTTATCTTTGGTGTTTTAATTTTACTATGACTGTGAGTATGTTACAAATTGTTTCATGTAACTCTGTAACAGCAACGAGATATCTTGATATTTTATCATCGATAAAATATCGATTTTATCATTTATTTCATGCATATATTTCATATCTTTCATATAGTAAATATATTCTCGCTAAATTTACATGCTCATTGATCACATGTGAGTTATGGATAATGTATGCAATATGGAATATTTCAAAATCGTGTTCAGCAGCAATTTGAGAAATAAGCAGAATTCAACAGGTTATAATTTTGACAAAAATGATGCTATCAAAATTATTTGAAAAGCAGTTTGGCCTCTCTGTATAGTTTTCAGCAATATTATTACATATTTCAGCCATAATATTTTCATCGTTTTTTGGCAGAATATATCAAATGAAATGAAACAACTCAATTTTTCAATCAAGTTTTTGATATATTGAAAAATAATTATGAAAATTTAAATAAACCATTTGATAGAAAACAATTTGCACCAAAGATGGATAGCTCGGAATATGAGATGATTAGGAACATGACGCTTCTCTTTTTCTTCGAACGACTGATGGACAAATCTGGCCCACGCACACTACACGATTTGAGTTGTCAGTTCGGAGCTAAGGGCTTCACGAAGGAGATGCGGCAGATAGCGGGAGGTTCACAAAGTGGTCTTAAAAAATTTCTATCGCAATATCCAGCTCTCTTCTTGATCGATGGCGATTACGTGTCCGTCAATACGTTCCAGCCGATCGTGGAAGAGGAGAGCGGTAGTAAAAGCGCAATTAAACGTGATTACGCCCGTGAGGCCGTAGAATACTTTACGAATAAACTGGTGCAGTACGGCATGGGTATTGAAGTGCCTATCAAAAGTCTCCTGGGTCACCGATCGCAGGCCTCGCCGGAGGTCAGGCATATATCCGGTCAGCACTACAAGGAGTTTCGTGACTTTCTCCTCAAGTATCCTGACGCGTTCGTGGTTACGGAGGATAACGTGATATTGAAGCAATACGAAGGCATGAAGCTAGAGCGATTGTTGGAGTTAGAGCCGGACATTCCGATCGATCCGGAAGTCACGGCGAAATTGTTGGACTTCTTCTGTGTATGTATCGAGCAGAAAGGTCCGATCTTGATCGACCAATTGTTCAATATGATGAGCGATAAATTTTCCCACGAGAGTTGGTTGTGCATATTCAAGATGCCTCAAGATCTGTCAACTTTCATCAAGATGTTTCCGGATGCGTTTCACGTACAGAGCAACCTGGTGACGCTGATAAGCCGGTCAAAATCTTCCGTCGCTACCGAGTCTACGACGGGTTCAGCCATGAAAACGAAGATCTCGAGCAGCGGCGGTGTCCGTAATCAGAGCAACAACAGCTTGACGCCGAACGCGTTGTCTGTCACCCCACCGAGTAAAATCCAGTTCTCGCAGCCGCCACAGCAATACTCGCAGCCGGAGAACGTCTGCAATAACGCCACTGCTCAACCGAATTCGCTGCAAAACGCGTATACATCGTCACCCGTCGTCGAAAGCAATAATAATTCACCGCCGGTGAGTCTGCAGCAGCAGACTCTCAAGCAGAGGATCAATACGCTCGTGATGAAGACGCTAGCGGACAACACGGAACGTGACCGTAGTCTGCAAACTGCACAGATGGGAGACGCCTGGAAACTGAAGGTTCTACAGCAGACCAGGGTGATAGTGTCACCGAGAGACAGTCTCCAGATCATAGAGGATATAATTAATCCTCGGAAGCCGCCTTCCGATGGCAAGATAGTCATCTCTTTTGACTGTGAGGGCATCAATCTCGGCGTCAAGGGGCAGTTAACTCTCATACAGATCGGTACGATGAGCGGTCAAGTGTACGTGTTTGATTTGTTCACATGTCCGAGTCTCGTTCAAAATGGAGGTCTTCGAAAGCTGCTGGAACATAAAAATGTTGTTAAGGTAATGTCATGATAACGTACCGAGATGATTTTTAACGATTGTAATAAGTCAATTATAATCTATAAAAGCCTGTAAGAGCTGTGCACTATAAGCGTTACTGTGCGACGATATTTATTAAAATTAAACCAATGCTTAAGCAATTTTAATTATTAATACATAATATGTAATAAATATTGTTGTAGTTCCCGACTCTTATAATTGATTTTTAATCTCAGAAATATTGTTTGAATGTTACAAGATTTACAGGTATATTATGACGTTCTTTCGATTTTTACAGACATTTTCCCTTTATATTTGGTTGTGTAATGTGCTAGCTCGTGTAATATGTTACTTGGTAAAGCCTCGGAAACTCTGTATATCGTGTTAATTATTTTAATTATTTTTGCTTTTACAGGTTATTCATGACTGTAGGAACGATAGTGTCAATCTGTATAATCAATTCAAAATTATGTTGACGAACGTTTTTGATACACAGGTAATATTCCTCGTTTTCATGCCTGTTTGTATAATTTTATATTAATATATCACATATCTTTTCGTTATATTTATATTATTTATATTATACATGAATTATATATACATTACATATGAGAATGTAATATCTTGTATATATAGGCTGCTCATGCAGTACTACAGTTTCAAGAAACGGGGAAGCCTGTGTACAAAGTTAAAAATGTTAATCTGAATACATTATGTGATCATTATGGTGCTCCGTGTAATCCGCTTAAAGAACAAATGAAGAACATTTACCGTAAGGATCAACGCTACTGGTCCCGACGACCGATGACTCGCGACATGCTGATTTACGCGAGCAGCGACGTTCTGAGCCTTGTACCTCAAGTCTATAATGCCATGTCCAGGTGCGTGTATTTTTGTGAATAAATATTCGTGGAATTACCAACAACAGCGAGCCTTCTAATAACGATTTATTATCAACAGACTTATCAAGCCGGAGGTACAAGGTCTGTTTGTAGAGCTGTGTGAGGAACAGATTCAAATGCATATAAGACCGACAGAGGTGAAAGCACGTAAGAAGCAACGAAAGGTCGAGACTGAAGTGGCAGATCTGAAAAAGAGAATGGAAGAGGCGACGAGCAAGAACATTGTACTAAGCAATCGTGAGATTCGACTCCTTCGCTATTTGGATCTTACCGAGGATGAGAAGGAAAAGCTTAAAGGGAGCTACAAAGTTGCGAAGAAACTGGAAAAGTTGGAAAATATGGGTCAGGATAAGGGCGACAGTAGTGACGACGATGATGAGGATAAGACGGACGATGTGGAGTATCCCAGTATGGAAAGTTACACTTCGGAAAATTCTCATTCTGGTACGATTGTTACGCTGTAAGAATAAAAGCTTCGTTAGTGCTTTTAAAGTATATGAAATTGATTATTCGTTTTACTCAAATTCATTGTTTGAAGTCAAAGCCGAACGCATAACAAGCTTGAAGTCTAATTAAGTGTTCTTGCAGTTAATCCTTCTTGGACTTCGTCAATCAGTTTCGTCAGTTCTTCTGCTACGTTTTAACAAACACAGTTTGATTCTGAAATATGACTTTCAGGTGGCATACTGTCACCCCGCAATGCCGATACTCCAAGCTTGACAGAATCGATGCAGATGGTGGACGAGATACTTTCGGACGGTCGGATGGATAGGCTGGAGAAGATTGAGAAATTGGAAGCCATACTCTCGGCAGTCACTAGCTCCGCGACTGACCAGCTTTCCGCCAACAGTGCAGAGGCATCTCCTACTAAATGCGTCTGTTCCTGTCAAGGCGACAAGATTGACAGCCCGCGGGCAACTATTGGAACTAGCGTGGCTTGCCAAACGCTTAGCACTGGTGATATAGTGATTACTAGAATCTTTGTCAGCGAGGAAGAAAAGGAGAGAGTAAAATTACTGAACTCGCCAAAAAAGTAGGTATTACAACTGCTGTGAAAGTAGTAGAGAAGTTGCCATTTATAGGTTTTTATAAAAGCGAATGAACGTATGGAATGAAGGAATTATAAGTAGTTGAGAAAATTTATCTATTTTAATGTAATATAAACGAGATTTTCATAGAGCAGAACCAGCGAAATCCAAACGGAATATGCTTTCTGTGCGTCTGCTCCCTTAAAAGTGTCTTAAACGAATAGGCCTTGTTATATACAAACGCCTTTCCGAATCTGACGGTATAGCAATCAGATTTTTAGGAAAAGGTTAATTAATTTTATACGAGGATGCACACACACGTATATATACACATCGTACGTTTAGTATTCGCTTGAAGATTGTCTTTCTTTGACGAGTTTTCAAGAAAGATCGAATGTGTTTTAAGTAACGATATGCGTAAGCACAGTGTGCGGACGAGAATATCGGTTTCGACAGTTCGCAGCAATTTGCAATTTTCGCAAATGCATCTTACGACGTTTGTCGTTAATCTCAGAATTAAATATAAATCGTGAATACTGATTAATCGGACGAAATTTATATACGAGTATCGGCAGAGTCCTCGTACTGTTCGTAGAAATATAACAATTGGCAACGCTTTTTATAATAAAGCGTCGCGGAATTAGTGGGATGCATATCATGCTTGCTGAAACGAAATATTTTTCCGTGAAGTACTGCATTAAAATCGCTGCTCGGTCTACGTTGCGCGTCACTCGAGATAAACAAATTCATCGGCAGTGTAAGAATGTAGAGCGTAACGGCATGTCTATCCAATTTATACAGCGAACGCTTGCTCTCGCGAGATTCAAGAAGCTTGTGCACCACGCGAAGTGATCTTACGCAGCCTCTCTCTTCCTTACACACATCGACTACAAATATAATTTATTTTCATATAGCTATACAAGTGCCAAGTTATATTATAGAATATGTACAGAGTAAAAGACGGATTAACAGATAGATTTTATATTTCTATTTAATTATACCTGCTTGTGGTGAATATAATTACGCTCGCACTTCCAATGAATGGGATTACAATTAGATAAGATTTCGATGTATTTATCATTCGTCGTGTCACAGTAGTAGATCTACCTTTAAACGGCATATCATTAGTACATAAACTGCCAATTTGTGTGGAACTGAGTGACGATTTCGGCTAGAGACCTCGATAAATCCATTGTCATCGCGAGAATCGCACAGGTGTTTTTAGTGCAATACTTTACACACGGACAAGTAACATTCAATATAATTACGCTCGCGTAATCCCGTTTTTAACACACTTGAACACGTGCTATAAGAATAACTGGAGAAGGAAGTCGCATAGGCGATTCATCGACACATTCTCATCAATTCCTACCAATCGAGAGAATGTGAGGCTCAAGTAATATCAAATCGTGTTCGACTATGTCGCGTTATTCGTATAAAATATGCCAGAAATTGTTACAATATATCTGGACAATCTACATGTAAATTGTTTTGATCTAATCAAAACACCGATTACTAGCAATATATTTTACAAATTCAAATTCTCGAGAATGCGAATTACGTACATTGGATGTTCCTTAGTATCTTAGTATCTTTATGTAGATGTTTTAATTATAATATTTCATCAATGCGTAAGAACTCTTTTTTGGGAAAATGTATAATCGTTGTTGCTACTAGAAAGGATTATTTAATTGGTCGTTACATTTGGAAACCAAATTATTATTTCGGCAATTCTATATGCCGTTAAGACATTAAAATACTTTCGTTAGAACAATCTTGAATTTTTACTGATGTGAAGATGATTCTCGATATACTGTAATTTTCTGTTAAAATTATAGTTACAAAAAAGTTAATTACATATTTCGATGTTATAGAAGTTTGATGAATAGTATTTTTATGAGATCTTTAGGCTTCTTTAATTGAATTTGATTTGTGTTATGAATTCTAGATTGAATGAAATGAATTTAATAGTCTATTATTATATAGACACATTTCTTGTATATCGATAATCGTTTGTATATTTTACTTATTAAGTCCTTTGTACTCATCGCTTGGGTTTGGCATGATGAGAAAGACACTTGGTAAAACATGTAAAGTTGTTACTCGCGCGATTCTAGTTCAAATTAATTTCAACTGAAATAATTTGTCATTGATATTTTTTCTGAACATTTTTCAATTGTTTAAATTCAATACCTTTGTTGGAGATTTATTGCGTAACTTAAGCTAGTTTTATAGTTCAGATGAGTGCGCAGATAGTTGAGAGAAAAATTTATATAGTATTTGCTTTGGTGATAATCTATTTTGTGGGTCCGATTCGTTCGTTATTTTGTTCATCCTGGTCTTTGGAAAAGAAAATGTCCTAATGCCATTCTATATTTATTACTATACATTACGTTTTCTTTTCCAATTATCCAGGTAATAATATTCTTACGAGCGATATTTTAAGCTTGGCCTAGAGAGTGTCATCCGGATTATTTTGTAATGCATTTGTATCAAGTCGATTATAGTAATTATACTAAACAAGGAACATCACAAAAATATTTATACAAAAGAATGCTAATTCACATAATTATTAACAATGACTAATTCGTTACATACCGAAATACATGCGAAATAAAGTCTAAAACAAATGTATGTAATAAAGGATATTACAAAAAAAAAACATCAGGCTTTTATATTTATATACTATCTGTTTGCTACTTTTTTTTTAAACTTGTCTTTCATCAATCTTTCCTCGTTTTCATTTATCTAGAAAAAGAAATGTTAAAGTTATAGAATAAAAATCTCTTGTATTTGTTTATATATATATATACACAGAGAGAAGCCTGAGAGCGGCTACGCCATATGTTTTGGGCGACACCGATTTTCACGCTGGTGCGATGCGCCATCTGCACCCATTTTTCAGATGGAACTACGTTCCCTACGCCCATTTTCAGACGATGCCGATAAAGCAGCGACTCGGTGCGTGTCTATTCTACTCCCATTTCCTGGCGATTCGTGTCCGTGCTAAGCGCATAATTGCGTAGTTAAAAACATGGACCATTGCGTACGAACTTATATTCCATTCAACATGCACATGATCTTTTGTAGTTGCCGAAATTAAGCAATAAATGCTAGCGCATGTAAGAGGATGACCGCGACGTACATCGAAACGTACGCGTGTTCCCACGTTTTACTTAAAGCAATGGTATTATTCGTAAAATTATAAACCACTAATCCCAATACACTAAAATGAGGAGAAGTCAATGATTTTCGAACAAAATCGATATCTTTTGTAGTTGCCGAAAGATAGCAAAAAATGTTGGATATAAGCACTGGATCATTCGTCGAGACATACGTCGCGCTCAATCTCTTAAACATGCCGTTAGCATTTATTGCTTAATTTCGGCAACTACAAAAGATATAGATTTCGTTCACAAATCACTAACTTTTTCAATTTATTCTACTGTAATTAAATGTTTATAATAGTACAATTAGTACTGGAGTAGTAAAGCGTGCAAGCGCGATATGAGCAAAAAATTCTGGCGGCAAAGAAGCACTTGACCGCCACGTCGAGACGTAAGCACGCTCCCTCGCTTTACCTAAAGCAGTGGTATTTTTCGTAATATTACAGACCACTAATTCCAATAGAGTAAAGTGAGAAGAAATAATTGCTTTTTAAACGAAATCGATATCTGTTGTAGTTGCCGAAAGAAAGCAAAAAATACTGGCGGCATATGAGCACTCGACCGCGACGTCGAGACGTACGCGCGCTTCCACGCTTTATCTAAAGCAGTGATGCTTTCGAAATATTATAAACCATTAATTCCAATACAGTAAAGTGTGTAGAAGTCTGTGCTTTTTAAACGAAATCGATACCTTTTGTAGTTGCCGAAAGAGAGCAAAAATACTGGCGGCATAAGCACTTGACTGCGACGTCGTGCTCAGGCTTTTACATGCCATTAGCATTTATTGCTTAATTTCGGCAACTACAAAAGATATCGATTTCGTTCAAAAAACATTGTCTTCTCCACACTTTACTCTATTGGAATTAGTTGTTTATCATATTACGATTAATACCACTGCTTTAGGTAAAGTATATAAATGCGCGGATGTTTCGATGTTGCGATCAAGCTCTTACATGCCGCTAGCATTTATTCCTTACCCACACAGCACAGAAATTTCAAAAAGCTTTCAGAAAGATTTCAAGAAGATTTCAGAAAGGTTCAATGTTTCTGAAACCTTTTTGAAAGCTTTTTGAAACTTCTGTGCTATCCCTTATAAAAATATCGTACTAAGAATCATTGATAATTACTTATTATCCAGTATTTTTAATACTGAAAATAAGTAATTATCAATGATTCTTAGTATGATATTTCTATAAGGGATGTGGGTATTTCTCGGCAACCACGAAAGATATTGATGTTATTTAAAGAGCACTAGTTTTTCCACAGTTTATGCTACTGGAATTAATGTTTTATAATAATGCGATTAATATCGTTGCGTTTTGTAGAGCATGGAAGTAGGTATGCTTTTCGCGGTCAGGTTCTCGCATATACACGTATGTACATATGATATTTCGTATGCATATACACGTAAATAAATTTATGACAGTGCGTAAAGAGAAAAGATCATGTGCATGTTGAATGAAATATAAGTTCGTACGCAATGGTCCATGTTCTTAACCACGCAATTATACGCTTAGCACGGACACGAATCGCCAGGAAATGGGCGTAGAATAGACATGCACCGAATCGCTGCTTTATCGGCATCGTCTGAAAATGGGCGTAGGGAACGTAGTTCCACCTGAAAAATGGGTGCAGATAACGCATCGCACCAGCGTGAAAATCGGTGTCGCCAAAACATATGGCGTGGCCGCTCTCAAGCTTCTCTCTGATAGATGGCACATGAGTATGTTAGAAGCTATGCCACACATGTAAATGAGTCTCTACATTTTGGCAATGACTACGTTAATATAATAAATTCTCTATATGAAAATATAACGATATGTTGAATATTAATTTTCCAACGCGTGTAATAAAGATGTGTTCACGTTTACTCACAACATTAGAAAGAAATGTAAAATCGCACAAGATAACCTCCTTGTATAGTGCACATAATATTCAAAAAAGACATTCTTCCACAACACGTGAACTATGGAACGTGTTATTTTTCGGAACAGATGATTTTGCTCTCGAGACTTTACGAAGTTTATATAATAAATAGTTAGTATTAATTATATTGATAATTAATTCTTGATTCCAGTGTTAGTACATATTTATAGATAATACATCTTCCAAAAAATAGCAACCTAAAACAGAATTCTTTCATCTGCAAAATAATGCTATTTCCTTTCATTTATTAAACATTAAATTGGAATTGCTTCCTGTATAGCAGAGCCAAAAAACTATGTCGGTTGGAAGTTGTGTCAGTATATAAAAAGAAAAAGAATTCCGTTATACAGTATGCAGAGGAAAAGGGAATTGTTGTTAACACATGGCCTCTTGAAAATAATCCACAGGATTTTCACATTGGGATAGTTGTTTCCTTTGGTCATTTGATACCATCAAATATCATTGGTTCCTTTCCACTGTAAGTTGCTCTATCCATTTTCACAAGTGTAGTTTGTATTTTGGTACATATTATCTTTTGTTACAGTGGCATGATAAATGTTCATGCTAGCTTACTGCCACGATGGAGAGGAGCAGCCCCAATAATATATTCCTTGATTAATGGAGATACAGAAACAGGAGTTACTATCCTGAAAATAATGCCAGAGAAGTACTCTTTCTTCTTTAAAATTCATAACTTTGAAAGTAATCTAGCCTGAGGAATGAGATTTCAAGTAATATAAATTAATGCAAGAGTTATTAAATTTAATTCTCTTCTGTATGTATAATGTATAAAATATTTTAAATATTGCTACATATGTTTTTTTAAAGTTAAAAGGATGAATATCACAATTTTAATATTACCTGGAATCTACTAGAGTTTTATACAAATAATTTCTCATGCACTGCTTTATTATTTCAGGTTTGATATTGGAGAGATAATAACACAGGAGAGAGTAAATATTCAAGCAAATGAAACATTACCGGAACTGTACGTGAAGTTAGCAAAAACAGGGGCAAATGTTTTGGTTAGTATGATAGAAAAACTGCCGGAAGTATTATTATCCTCGAGGCCTCAGGAAAGGATAGGCATAACATATGGTAACTCGTCTTTGTTATATTAAAAACAACAATACATTCAGTGTTTAAAGTATTTGAATTTTTTTCTCATTAATATCTTTTTGACAATTATACACATTATAGCACCTAAAGTTACATCAAAGATCTCTTTGGTCAAGTGGGACGAAATGACGGCGAAGAATGTGTATGATCTGCATCGCGGCCTTTTAGGATTGTATCCGTTAACAACCAAGTTCGGTGACACAGCGATAAAATTGCTCGACGTTCAGCAGGTGTCAAAACCAACTGATAGAACAATTCCGGAGGACGATGATGTACCAGGTGATTGTTATTATTTACCCCTGTACTGATTCAGTGTGGCACTAAATTAATTCCAACAATTGAAACGCTGTTTAAACCCTCAGTTTATTCCTAGGAAAAAAATTATTCATCTGAAAATTTAATTATTTTTGAATAAGATGTGCGTGATTAATGTGAGAAACTTTCTTCCAGGTTTGGTGCGATTTGATAAAAAGAGTAATTCACTAATCGTGACATGTAAAGGCCCAAGCTGGGTCTCGATAAAGAAGCTGATAGTATTTGGCCATTCGCCTATGAGGGCGATAGACTTCAGAAATGGATTTATGCAGGACAAAATGAAGAAACTACTTTTTCGGAGTAACATAATATAATTTACAGTGCTGCCTCTGTCTTCGACACTGTAAAGTTCTTTTGTAAACCTACAAAAATTTCACCCAGAAGGGAAAACGGATATAATTACATTAAACTTTTATTTACTATAATAGTAAGTTATAGACTTAGAATGTACTAAATATAATATAGACGCAGTGACTTCACTGTGAAAATAATAAGCTGCTTGTCGTGTATTAATATCTTCTTGAGCATCGGACGCGGATAAATTATTTTGCTCATCTCAGAACTTTGTGTAATTTTGCATTTAAAATAGTATCGTATCTTCTTGCTTTATGCAAAAATATTCTCTTTTGTACACTTCTTTTATTTCTTATTTTACAATTTACTTAGAAACCTTTTACGCAAGAAGCACGCGCTATATGAAACTATAAAGCGTTATGATGAAAGTCTGTAAAAGAATTCATAAGAAATCAATAGCGCGAACTGTGCTATAATATAACGTAAAACCTCCAATAAATTATACTTTGGAGTGGAATTTTCAGTAATAATTCCCAAAATTCATTTTGTTTCTAATTACAGAAAATTTTCTCTATACTTTGATATATATCTTATAGAAAGAAAAACGTAACGACATTGGGTGTGTATGTGTGTGTGCGTGTGTGTGTGAATGTCTTATTTATATAAACGTAGAATTGTAGCTGCAGATAGAAAATTGTTGATATTAAGTCTCAGATTCAGAGGCCTGAAATGAAAGAAAGATTTTTACCATGAAAATCTCTTTCTTTTATTACACTTAATGTGCCGGTGATATATATCCCCACTGACAATATTAAATTCGAAGATCCGAAAAGGACTTCAGAATACTTCAACGTATTATTTTCTAGTCTGCTGCAGATAAGATCACATATAAAAATAAAGATAAATATAATTTAATTTGTGCATCAGACAAAAAGAAAAAACTGCATTCCCTTTTCTTTAGTATATTAATTTTTGGCGTTTTCATTAGACGACGTCATATATTCCCACATTTAATTCACTTCAATATGAAATCAAATCAGTCAGTTACTCGTATACATATTTCAGATTAAAGTACTTTTTATTTTGTCATATCTGTGCTTATTGTCTACAAGCATCTGTTAATGGTGTAAGTGTAATTGTCCTGATTTATTGTTTGGTGTCTTAGAAAATATTGTTGTCTTACACAAATACCACAATATCGTGTGCACTCTCGAGAACTATGCTAGGTAAAAAGACAAAGGAATGCCTATCTAAAGAAAAATAGTTCTTCACATCGCACGGCTATCTATTGTGGACTTCCATGTGTCGATATATAGACAAAATAGAAAGTACATCAATCTAGTATTGAAAAATATTGGCGTTTACGAACAGTAAAAATTTATGAACTTACACTAGGGTCGCAGTCGGCACAGTGCCACGAATAGCCTCTCCTTTTCGGAGACTTTTTCACAGGAGGATCTAAACAAGTGAAGTGATAACACTTCTTACATTCGTCACACCTAGAACAGAAATGATCGACTCGTAATGTGAAAAATCGTTAAGAATATAAGCTATCTTCTTGCTTGTCGTAGTCCGCAGCTCTGGAATACTCACATAACGAGATTCTGGTTGGTACCGGGAGTATCACAGACATTGCATTGCGTCAAAAGGTCCGTGTCCTTCCCTTTCTTCGCAGTTCCTGTCGGCCAGCGACTACTGCTATTCACAGATGCGTTTACCGGCGGCGGCACGTTTGCAGCCGGCGGCGGCAGAGGTGGCGGCGGTGGCAGTGTGATTTCGGTACTCGTGGAAGTGGCCACAAACATTTGCGGACTTGATTCTGAGGCCACATCGCCTTCCGGTCGTGGAATTGGTTTTATCTACGTTCGACGACAACGATTTAACAATATGAATTTATATAAACACAATAATGCAATAAAATAGGGAGATAAAGCGGATATACTTTTATCGTAATCCTCCGGTGAACTTCTGGTTGGCCTTGCAGTTCTGGATTTTCTATATCAAGACTTTTCCTCTTGTGCTTCCTTTTTCTCTGTTTGATCCCGGTTATTGGATCAGGAGTATATCTCTTGTGCTTTTCCCTGATACAATCCAAGTTTATATATATATATATATATATA